GAGGTTTTCAAGGCGGTGAGTCTGAAGATGGCTGTCTTATAGTTTGTTGCGTAATGTAGTCTGGTAGAAGTTTACCTACTTTTCAGAGGTATTTTCTGCCTCCATCATCGGGGGTACTCATCGCCCTGATGATGGAGGTAACCATGTCGGCGAATTACAACCGGACTACACGGCCCAACAACCCAGAAGACAGCCATCTTCAAGTTTGTTAAGTCTTTTAGACAGATCTATTTCAACAATCTGATCTACAGTAAATGTTTTCCGGTGTCTATACTCATAAATTTTATTGCGTACAAACTGTTCACACTTGCTTGTAGTGAGTTACATGAAGGTGAACTTTAATGCAGTCTAATTATTCCACGTACTCAATATTAACGAGAATTACGATTATTACAATTTGTACTCTGAGGAATATTTGTTGTCCGATACGTAGCGAAATGAAATTCACCTACTATCCTCACTACACGCCTTGAAAGCGCTTCGGGGAGGAGAGATGGGATGGTTAGATGTTAGATCGCAGATGGTGCTTGACAGGCTGACAAAGAAAGATTTCCAGGGATGCTTCCAGGCTTGGCAGCGGCGCTGGGATCGTTGTGTTCACTCCCAGGGGAACTACTTCGAGGGTGATGGATGAATTTAATACCTGAGATAAGTGTACGGGTTTTTATAGGCGCAGTCTAGAAACTTTCCGATCGCACCTCGTATTTGAGATTTTACTGTGGCGAAGAAAATGACCTTGCTCCTCTGGGTCTTGGCGCCATGTAGACCCACCAATAGCAGCCCTCTAGTCCAGCTGATAAGTAACATTCCCCCCGCACCGACCAGGAACGACTTTCCCTTGCTGGGATTTTCTCGTCATCTGTGGACAGTACATGCCAAGTGTCAGTTACTGTGTCAGTGTCTCATCTTAGTCAAAATCGAAATGTGTCAACAAACTTAGCAAAACTTCCCAAAATTAAATTTCATGAGAATCTGTTCAATGGTTTTCGAGTTGTTACACGTGACATATAGTAGTCGGGGCCCAATTTGAGGAAGGCCCACTATCCCAGAATTTTCTGGAGGTACTAAGGAAAATCAAGACAATTTTCAAAGTCTCCGGGCCATGATTTGAACCCGATACCTCCCGAGTCTTAACCACTCGACCGCGAATTTAGTTAACGTTACGTATCACGCAAATTGGGGAATTCAATACCAAAAACTAAACCTGGCCTAAAATGAATTAAATTCGTGCACTTGTTTCTTAGAAATTTCTCACGCCATAAAATCTGGCATTTCAACTGACAGTTTATTCTAATTCGCAAACTTTAAAGCTCTCTGAATGCATGCGTATGAACGGCAACTTCATCCAGAATTCCGAAAGCCGGCAGAAAACAATCTCCTACCATCTTGCACGTCTGTACCTCTTTCTCTATGTCAAATCGTCCCAGATATCTCATAGTCACTTTTTATCCGTGAGCCGACAGAGCTATCTGCCCTGCAGGCCAAGAGGCCATGCCAACAGCACCGTTTCTGTTCTGTCTAGCTTCTGATGTATATAGCAGTTATGCCTGGCGCCTCCCCCACCAGCTGGAGACAGTCCCCCCTCCTCCTCCACAGCATCCCAGCGGGTGAGGGAAAACATCTGGTAACAAAACGACCCTTAGAAAGCCTGACTCGATCGCTTGTTCTTGTCATCTGGGGATGGGGTCGGAAGGCGTGGCTAAAACTGACACCTCGCTGCCTTTGTGACCCGTGCCTACGATTTTAACGACCCTGAGGAACTCGAATTCCTTACGACGACCCCAACATTCGACCTTTTTATCCCTTCTTTTTTTCACAATACCTCGTCGTTCCTCAACCTGCTTTACTTTGGGCGGATGGACAAGGCAAGAGACTTGGTAAATAATGCAGTTCGTTCTGCTTTATTTTTTCTTATTCTCTCTCCCTCTTGAGTGCCGGTTCGTTAAACTTCATGGGGAATGGCAAGTGAGGTGTGAATCATCTCCCGCTCTTTTCTCTTTTCTGTGCTAAACCATTTTTATCTTCAGAACACACACCGGTCTGTCACAACACCCGCAAAACAACACACACATGCATTTCACTTCATTGGACACCGTCGATGTCTGAATTATTCAAAACGGTTTGGAAACAAAACAAACCGAAACAACGTCGTCCCCCCCTCCGACGCATTTGCCCCCCCTGTTTTCTCGTCTTTTTGCGCCAAATAGGGAGACGGGCGGAGACAAGGTTCCAGTAAAAGAAATCAATGACACACAGATGTCGATCCAACAAATCAAGTTTCACGCATACATTGAAAACCATTAGCAGACTACAAAGGAAGTTGCCCAGTCAGTGGCAGGTGGAAAACCATTATTCTTTCTTTTTTATCATAGTTAGCGCCGAAGTACACGTCGTAAATTTGGTACGCTCGAGTCTTGATGAAACAGTCAATTTCAGTACAAATTCGTTCATTGTTTTAGTTTTACAGTGTAGGATAACGTGATTTAGCATGAAAACGCCAAAGGTGAAATGCTGGATGTGTGGCATATTTCGAAGTCAATTAATGGTACTTAAAATTGAGTACGGTAATTTAAAAACGTAAACCAACACTGCTCATGTCTGTGGCTAAGACTTAACAATCATGGCACCTCAAGACGTTCTAGAAGCATAATCAGAAGAACAAATGTCCATTAATTCCGTGGGTGAGATTTCAGGTTTCAGCCCTGATGACTGAGGCAGCAAGCGCCTCTGAAACATCTTTAACCTTTTGGTAGACTGCACGGCGCAGAAACCCAGAAGGCAGCCATCTGAAAGTCTGTGTTCCTTAAACCGAATATTTGACGAAATTAAAAAATCAGCAATTACACAAAAGCAATTATAAAAGCGCCCGGCTGCTTTTAAAAGGGCTCATTATTTCGCCTGCACATCTCAAAGAAATACAAACAAAATACAGAGCTCTAATATTTTCCATTATCATAATCTTATCTCCAACACTGCTGCTAGCACAAATTTTAACTCCATGGAGCAGAGTCCATCTTAAGAAACTGATAGTCGCTTAGTTCCTCAAGAAATTTCCCACTTTTATGAATCCCCAAAGCTCATTACAGCCTTCATAACAGCTAGTCTCCTGCTCCTATCCTTAGAAAGATGAATAAAATCCAAACCTTCCCACCCTATTTCACTAAGACCCACAAATAGCCCTCTCGACTAAGTACGAGTAGCATTTCTGCTTCATATTTGTTAAGTTCCGGTCATAGAATCCTGTCCAGAAACAGGTAGGATATCCCCATGTTTTTCGCTGTTTTTCTCAGCTCCTTTTTCGGGGGGCCTTCCCAATGCATCATTTACTTCGACGCCGTAATGAATGCACTTTCCGAAATTTAGTTAATCAAACAAACAAGACATTCGGTTGGTAACGAATACTGTGATAATCCTTTCATGGTATTCTTCAGTCCCTTCCAAAGCATAATGTAACAGACCAGTGTTCCTAAAATTGTTCACATGGTAGCACACTTAAATGTTTCGCAGACATGGATAGACTGAGTAAAAACACGCATAATATTTTTCTACACTAACATTCTTCAAAGTCAGTTTTTCTGTTTATGTAATTGTCGTAAAACATAAGCATTACATATCACAGAAAAAGAAGAGACTGTGTATTTAAAATCTTAGGGAGGAACAATTAATTAAAATACATGAAGAGAACATTAAGATAAAATTGCACTTACGTAAAATGCTGTTTGTGACAAATATAAATAAACATTAAAAAACACATCGAGGCAATTAATAATTTATCAAAGCGTGGCAGAGTCCGCTGAAACAAAGTTGAAATTAATTTCACTGCTGTTGGTATACTGTTGACAGCATATCGCGCAAAAGAAACACATTTTAATTACAGCGAGTTCTTTATTCACTTGCGTGGTAGCTATGATACAGAAAAATGCGAAACAAATCGAAAAAAAAAAATAAGCGTCTATAAAACGGTTGAATTTCTTTTCGACAAACAATTACAGATATTTATTCACGCAAAGTGTACGATACATAAATTTGTCTCGTGTTGTGGTAACATTTTTAGCGGAACTGATCCAATTACACTCCATCAGCTCCAGGCAATGGTCCGACATTTTATTTTTACTGACCGCGTAATCACGTTAAAGTTAGAATGGCGTAAATGAATAACTGGTATATACTGTTCTTGAACCGCTTTAAACCAAAGGTTTCTGAATGAAAACCGCGTAAATGCGAATATAAGAAACTTGAAACACACAGGATGACAAACACCAACCTCAAATCTTACTCGACACTAATACAGATTATGACGCAAAGCTGCTAAAAAGCCTAACCTTTTAACTATCCTGCTCTGATACTATTGCCTAAAATATTTATAGAATAATTAAGATCTGGACTGGATTAATCTGGCTTAGGTCAAGGTCCAGTGGGGAGTGTTCTAGTGATAACAGTAGTAAACCTTAAAATTCTGTAACAGGCGAGCAATCATGGACTAGCTTAGCGACTATCAGCTTCTCACAAAAGACTATTCAAATGGAGTTACTTAAGTCACTTCACTCTAATTTATCTCTACCCAGAAACTGTCATGTCTTAACTGTATCCGCATGTCAGAAATATTGAAGGCACGTGTTCCGAAAAAGCCTTGTGTAACGACAACTCATTTCTAAAACCAGAGTGTTAACATCATATGTTTTGGCTTGTATCATAATTATCTCTGTTTGTTCTGTTTTGTCTCTTTGTGTCGACAGATCACATGAGTAGAATGATCTTTTACATCAGCTGTTTACATTTAGTGAAATTTGTGCGTAAATCCGTTTTAAATTAATCGAACAGTATTCCGTCATAATTAATTAAATAATCCAGTGGAAAATTGTTCTTTTGATCTTTGAGGACGCTTAATTAAAGTATGGTGTGTTCACGAATATATGAATGATAGGAAATACGGGGTATACAGAACTATAGTTATGCTTATTGTTTCGTATGGGTTTGAAACTTGGTCTCTCACGTTACAGGAGGAACAAATATTGAGGATGTGCGTGAATATGGTGCTGAGAAGAATATATGGGCCTAAGGGGGACGAAGTGAAGGGAGAATGGAGGAAACTGTACAATTTTCCCTCTTCACCAAAAATTAAAAAGAGATGGGAGGAACATGAAGCACGCATGGGAAATAAGGAAAGCGGAAAGAATTTTGGTTGGAAAACTAGAAGGTAAGAGACCACTCGGAAGATCTAGACATACGTATATGGGAGTATAATATTAGAATTTATCTTAGGGAACTATGGTTGGATTGTGTGGACTGGATTCATCTAGTAGGCTCGTGTAAACACGGTTACGAAAATTCGAGTTCTGTAAACAGCATGGCCGGTAAGGGTAATAAGGTGTCCCCTAGGAGGAATTGGCTGTCGGAACTCGAGTCTTTGAGATGTGAATATTAAAAAAAAATTCTTCCACCATCTTCTTGGTCTTATTCTTGGTCCTGTCCTGTAGGTTTAGTTTCATGCTTCCTTCCGCATTGAAATTTTAAAAACATTTAGGCCCACCCAACGATGATATATCAAGAACGGCATCTAACGCCATCTTCTACTTTGGTAAAAGTAAGAACACAAACAGATTAATGCAGACTTTCATCGTAAATGTGTCCTGTTTTTGCCACTAGAAACGTGTTTGCCTTTCTCTCGTTTAACCTAACCCGCAACATTATTTTGAACTAGGCAGCTCAATAATATTTCTTGGACACGCTCTACATAAATTTGTCTAGGAAGTGTTCGTTAACACATTTTATTCTAGACTGAGCTTTGCTTAATATCAAAATAACAGGGGCAGTATTCAACAAATGTCAACAAACCAATTAGACCTATACAACAACATACATTACATTGATACATTTCCATTAAAGCCTCTAAACAGTGCTCTCGCAGTTTCCATTACATATCCCTTACAATCAGACACTGAAAATGCTAAAATCGATACCTCTTGGACAATTCGTAACGCTGACGTGGTTTAATCCCGTTAAATAGTTATATTTAATCAAATTAAAATGAGTTTCAAATTTAGTACATTAAATCGAATTGAGATACACACGCTAAATTCTACACCAAAACTGGGCCTATCTCTTTTTTGTTTATGAATGTTAATGAAATCGTGTGTGAAGGCGTGGGAGAATTCATTTGGCTCAGGACAGAGCCCATGTGAACAATGTTAGTCTATTAAAGTAAAGTAAAGTAAGGGGAATTTCTTGACGAGCTGAGCTACTACTAACTCCTGAAGGAATGTCTTCCATGGAGTTATATGATTCTATGATAAAAGCACTATCAAGAGGTGAATGGTCAGGTTGTCTCTACTCTCAGGACAGCTATTTGAAATAAGATTTGACGAAGTACGACAGAAACAATTCTCTTAAAAACACATACTCGTAATATATTCGTCATGTAAGCAAAAATGTAGATAGTATTAATCAATCATTCAATCAATCAAAAATTTTCGTTGTAAACTTGTACACTGTCAAAAATATAACAGATCCTCTGACCCACTACATATTAAATGGTAATGATATTCGTTGGTATCTCAATTTGTTTCTTTGGCATCAATCAAACAGTCAATCACTTCTCATGTCTGAGAACGATGAAAACTATTTGAACACAACGAAATTCTGCATAACAATGAAAATTATAATGGTGTGAATGCCATGATGTGAACGGTCGATTGCACACACATATCAGGGCCAGCGCTCAAAAAAGGACGGCGAAATTGATGTTCGGGAATGCTGTTAGACGAAGACAGGAGAAACGTAATAAAAAAAAATCAGGGAGTGCTATAGAAATGTTGGAGCTATGTAGCATTGAAAGAGCGAGAGAGACGGAATATGGTTGCTACTGTTCGGATGATACAAGCCAAATTGATGCCTCCGAGAAAAAGTGGTCTACGTTTAATCCATCTGCTGAAATAATTTATCGTATGTCGGGTTCCAATTTGTATCACTCCATACTAATAAGAAATTTATCAGATTCCACTAGTTGAGGTCGAACGTATGCAGCTGTCCTGACAGAACTGATTATGAAGAATGTGGGATCGAATGCTGCCACGTAATCATCATTAGCTTAACAAAATATCATTTTTAAATATATTAATCAATGTAAAGTTTCATAAAGGACGTTATTATATCCAATACAACATTTTAAGCGATATTTAGATTGCTGTCTTCTGGGTTGTAGCGCCGTGTAGTCTAGTTGCCCTGATGGTGGAGGCAGCAAGGGCCTTTGAAATGCTGGTAAACGTCTACCAAAAGACTCTGAAATCCTACTTAGCAATACAATCACCGACATGAATGTCGTTCAGAGCTTAACTGAGTCAATTAGAGCGGATGGAATTTGTCCAGGGCATGTAAAAGTACGTACAGCTGTCCGGCTATGCGGCATGTAGGCACTTCGTCAATGCAATACGGCCATAAAAATGGTCGTGTAATTTGAGAAGCAGCATTGTGCACTGATTTATTGATGAGATGATTTATAATAAGGTTGTGACTTCGTAAATTTCTGCTCTGAATTCCGATTCCCAATTAACCGTTTATAAATAAATGGTAATTATATGTTCCACCTCCTTTAATATTTAATATCTGTTCATTCTGTCTACGGAGTGTTTGTGGATTCTGATTGGATTTTTAGAATAAAGAACGATTATTCCCTTAAACAACCGTAACCAATTAAAATCTGTAACGAAGAAGTGCTGTGTTCCGAGGCAGGAGATGGATTTTTAAATGTACAATTTGCCCAAAAAGATTAACGCACACATTCAATGAATTTCCAGTACCACTTTAAAATTTATTTATTTATTTATATTCCGAACTATATAGCGTCGAATAAGAGGAAGCTAGAGAATAATTAATCGGGAAAGGACGCGGTCGTGACCTATTTTAAGGTCTATCCCGGCATTTGCCTGGAGGGACTGACGAAAACCACACCTTTGTTTCAGAAGTACAATTTCATACACAGACGCTGTGAGCCTTGACCTTTCCGGACTATTTTCCGACAGCTTTCGAAACCGTTTTCGACTTTGGCAGAACTCGGGCGAGGTCAGCCCGTCCCAAGGTGTCCACCTACACAGGACAACACACCACTGAGAAACGAGGACACGTCCATCCTCTGGGCTGATTTGGAACTCAGGATCCTTGTCATCGAGCGCCGATGATACACACCTCAAGACGTGAGGTACCGTCGACTGGCAAATTACGTTACTTCAATAAATACAATTACGCTCTTCAACGTGGATGCTAAATCGGCACGAAAAAATTGGTTGTTTAAATGTGTGCTGTAGAATGAAAGAAAGAAGTAAACAAATGAAGGAAGGAGGGAAAAATAAGGAAGCTTGAAGGAAACAGACGGTGGCGGAAAGACAATTTTTTTTTATAAAAGTGGGCGCCCTTGTAAGACGATCACGAAATTCTCGCTGTATCATCATCTCTTACAGCTTACTTAAACTAGAACGTGACTTGTGTCGTTCTTAGTCTGAACGCTCGGCCGTCTTCTCTCTCTCTCTCTTCCCTCGATCTCTATACCAACACCACTGGTTTGTCCAGCTGGCGCCAGCCGATCGTCATAAATAATTGCGCGCACAGATACGCCGAGAATGTTTTTCTCTGCTGCCAGATGGTCCATGGCTGGCCGACCGGACAGAGAAGCTGCGACTTCTTAGCAGACGATAAAAAAAGACGACTTAAGATGGCTTCGTGACATCAGAGTAGCTATCGCCGAAATGGAAACCTCACATAGAGTACGGCTTTAATGTGTACAAAGGCAGAGTACGACCCGGCCTGCATGACTGGGCAGTAAAACTCCGGCGCCAGGAAACGGGCGACTCTGCATTCCGGGGACACATGGGCCTGGTCATTCAGCTTTTAAAATTACTAAACTTCCGTTTCTGAATGCAGATAATCCTATCATTTTATATGTACACGTGTCCGATTTTATATGCTACCTTTCCTTCCCTTTCGTTCTCGTCTTTCTCCGTTTATTTATTTTACCCTATTCCTCACGCCATATCCCGTTCTCTCCCTCTCTCTCTCTGCTCTGTTTTGCTTCTTCACCATTTCATTCCTCATTTCTGTCTTTCTTTACGAGCAACTTATTAATTTATTCGACGTCAAGAATTTTTTTAAGTTCCGTGGAACTGGAAATTGAGAACCAGCAGCTAGTGAGCTGAAGCACCTTAAAAAAGATAAATTTGATGTCCACAACTGTCTGTGACGAATTATCAGATTTCTTCTTCAGCTCTTTAGGTTAAACGTGTGTTTCGGCTTTTAACCTGTTTTACTGATCAAGAAACGACCATTACGTCCAGTCTAACTTTTTAATATGGAACCTCTAGAAACAATGGAGGGAGTTTGATCAAATTCCATACGAACGTTAAGCAATTACGTGCTGTCGGTAGTTTTTACCCTTCAATTCTATACAACTCCTGGTAATTAATACGAAGGCGCCATTTATTGTAAGATTCTCAAGTTTCATGCTAATAGGCCTCTAGAAAATCTCTTGTAGTATTTTTATGTGTCGTGGTATAAAGTGGTGCTCCGTAGTTGGTGTGCCGTTGCAAGGTTTCAGGTGTGCCAAAAATTTAAAAATACCCACAAGGTTTCGGGAGCTGGTTCTGCTTCCGTCCTCAGGTGAAAGTACAATTTAATCAGCCGAGTCCACTGGGTTAAAATTAGCGTTTTCAAATTAATCTTACTGATTAGGTTGTAAGTTTCACCTGGTGACCAAAAAAACAAACAAACAGAACCAGTTCCCGAAACACTGTAAATGTTTTAAACTTATAAACAAATGGGGCATTTCACAAACGTACAGTTAGGTATATGAAATAGCAATGAACGCATTTGAAAAATATTTTTGGGCAGACATTCTCAGTCGATGTTTCTTTCGGAAAGAAAGCAAGAATATAAATGCCCTAAATGCTAAAATGTCTTATCACGAAAATCGGAAACCTCTGTCGATAATTCCAAAATCATTAATACTTCACCATCACTAAACTTTAATGTACGCATGAATATGTAACTTTCCTGTAAGGGCATCCGACATCAACCAAATGCGAACAGGTTTGTTACCCCATTTCATCTCATTCACGTACCACATCTGTCCCGGAATGCTGTAATCATACCGCACTGGTTAGCTAAGTGAGAAGACCCCACAGGGCAGTCATGATGAGTGAGAGAGTGAGTGAGAGAGAGAGAGAGAGAGAGAGTCGTGGCTGTCAGAGCGTGACATGCACTGCCTAATCTACGCTACTGAGAGTAACCCGGTGTCCTACGTGAACGAATAAATGCGAGCGGTGCGAGTTGCGTGGGTGAAGCGGAAATATCAAACTTGCTGTTTGTGTGGCGTTGTCCTATGTTACCGCGAAGCGACCAAAGACGAGATCAAATATTTTATATATTTTCGCGCAGGTCGCTTCGCTGGCCAGTAAAGCGCATGCGCAGAAAGACCGCGTGCTTCTATTGCAGTCTCTCACGCAGGACACAACAAGCGATTCCCTCATGTCATATGACACCCCATGCTGCTTATGCAGCTCGCACAGCACGCTTCTTATCGCTTACCTAGGACATTGCCTAAGTGGTGAGTTGCAGGTACAGCAATCTGACGTCAACATCGGGGGTGGGGGTGGGGGGTTATCTTCCTGAAAACACGGCAGTTAGCACGACCGAGGCCTCTAGATACTTCGGTAGTAAGAAACCTGAAATAAAGAGACCACTTGAAAAAATTAGGAGTGGACACAAGAATAATATTAGAATTATTCTTATTAATGGTATATGAGAACGTTGGATGGATTCAACTGGCCATTGCAGCCCTGCCCACAGCAAATGCGGATATCCTGGTGTGGAAGCCACAAATATTTTCCGTGTCCACATCTAAAAACCCGCAGGAAACCGAACACCGCGGTTGGGAATACTGAAAACAAATGAAAACCACGGATTCGGTGCTACTCTAGAATTGAACAAAGAGAAAGGCAATAAAAAGCAACAAAGAGGGAATAAAAGACAGGAACAGAAGAGTATGAAGTAAGAAAAGAGTGAAGAGAGAGCTACGGAATATTGGTGTCCAAAATGAACAAGAGCAAGGCGAGAAAAAATGAAAGAAAAAGGCGGAAGATAAAATCAAAAAGGAAGATATAAAGAGAATGAAAGGGAAGAATAAAAACAATAAACAAAGAAGACAAATGGGAACAAACAAACGAACAAGGGAACACAGAAAGAAAGCGAAAGGAAATGATAAGCCTGTATGCTATCGCTCATCTCTTAGGTGCCTGAAGAAAAGCTATAATTCTTTAAAGACATTCATGGGCTCAGTGATCGAACAGTGAACCTCCGCTACCAAATCCAAACGGATGCGACATATCTCAGATTATCGTAGTCTTCCTTCGCCTCTGCATGTGCATATCAGGACGGACAAATCAGTCCGTCGGGGCTATAAATAAATGCCCTATCACACGGCGACTCGCTTTTATGCCGAAATGCTCACACGTCACCGGGCCCAAGCAGCTCCTTGCCATCGGCACTAATCAAGTGCGGCTGTGACAGCTTTTATGACGTAACAACTTTTCCCAGCCGGTGCTGTTCGAGGCTGGGCGCCAGCTCGCCTTCCAGGCGCCTTCTATTTACTTCATGCTTCAACATATTCTTTCTTTTTTAGTTTAGTTTCTTCGCTACTGCTGCTATTTCTCTTTCCGTCTCCTCTCTTTAACTCGTTTTGCTCCCTTCTTTGGCGTTTGTGTCCGGTACTAAACACATCGAACTGCTCAATCCAATAAGTTTTTCTTTTCGACGAATCGTCCTTGTCCCCCGTCTCCTCACCCCTTACAGGGTTGGTGACCGAAGCGAACAGGGGGCGGAGGCCCTAGTATTTTATATAGGCTGAAAACATAAAATTCTGAGAAATTTGTAAACCTGGAATAAAAACTGTAGAATGGAGAAGTGGGTGCATATTTCTGGAAGAGATAAATTGTGATTCAACCCTCTCTGCAGTTTACACCAATTAATTGTCACTGAATTAAAGTTATGACCGCGTTAAGGCCGACGGCTAGAGAGCTACCACCTTTAAAGTCGCATTACCCTATCCCGTTTCGTCCTATCTGGGGTACCAAGATTAAAAATTGCCCCGCAATCACCTTTGTATTTTTCGAATGTGACCAGTTTTAAAAGACTTGTGCTCATGGTTACGAGTATTCCATGAAGAAGATTCCTCCTTCAATACCAACAGTTATTCAGGTGGTCAAGAGAGACCCGCGTTATATGGAGTCAAGCTTGTTCATTTCCGTGCTCACAGAGTCTCGGACTGTACCCTGTTCTGATCCAGATGAATCCATTACCAAAAAAAAAAAAAATAAGGCCATTTTAATACTGAGCATCTATTCTACGTCTAGGTTTCCTAAGTGGTATCCTCCATTCAGGTCTTCCGACTAACAATCCGCGTGCATTTCTTATCACACTCTTTGTGGTAATAAGTTTTACACCCCGTCCAACCACCGACCTGGGGACTAATCCATTTCGGCTGCCACATCCAACAGTTACATTATTTCTTTATAAACCCTATCCATGTTACTGGACAGTTCCCATATTCCACTCTTCATGTAACCACTGCGTTCCATTAATATAACGAGAGCCGTGTAAATGCCCATTACGGTAGCAAGCCTGAAAATACAGATGGGGCATCATGTCCAGTGACGTCACAGTCGGCGACTATTACCGAAAAAATGATGAGATGGTGTGGATAAAGTCAACAGTGGTCGGGGGCAACGCAAACATCCTTGACATAACCAGGATTCAACATTACCAAGTGCAGGTTGGCGCCAAAGAACCGCCATGCCTCCACCGGAGGTAAAGAAGTTCGCTGCTAAGCCATCACTCAACTAAAAACGTAATTATCCGTCGTAACGCCTGAGAAAATAGCAACTGAACCACGCCCGTACTCCATATGACTCTAATCTCGATCTTTCTGGATAATTATCGACTGTCACTCCCACAGTTCATGTTTTTTCAGTTGTTTTTTAATGTGACCTCAACACAAACAACAAATTAAAAACAGTTCACAGATCATAAACAATCGGCCAGCAAGATTCTCTAATAGCGTCTTCTTTCAAGAGAATGTTTTATTTGGTATTATTTTTATTATTAGTGTTCTGTCTAACGACAGGTCCGTTTACTCGGCAGATGGTTCAGAAGTGGTTTGCCATTGCCTTCTTCTGTATGTAAATGATGATGAATGTGAAGTAATTGTTGGGATGCCACGGAGAAACCGGGGAAGCCTCGGAGGAAAACTCCGTGATACATGGACCACGGCATTGCCCAACACACGTTATAAATTTGGGAATCACCGGGAATAGAACCCGGGACCCCAGGATTACAAGCGTTCTAACCGCTAGACCACCGTGGCGGTCAAATATAATATATATAATATAAATTCATTTGAATATATAATAAATTGTCTGATGATAATATTAAGAATAAGCCCAGAAATTAGTCAACTTTATATATTCTATAAGGAACAATGTTTTATACAAAATTTACACTTCTGAGTCGTTGAGGGTATCATTCGGATTCAAGCTGGAAACAGAGCTTCTGATAGTTTCTCAATTAGCGCTTTACTATCAATACTTTTTATATTTAAAGACTACACCATTCTGTACACAGTACAACGAAATGGCGTCCAATCATTTGCTATTTTGTTAAAAGTGCAAAAACTTAACACAGTCTGAAGTAACGTACCTAAGATATCATTTATGACGTATAGGCTTCAAATTTTATTACATACATTCACTGAACCACAGTGTGAAAACATTGCAGTATCGCGTATCATGAACTAAAAAATTTATATTTGTTATATTCTACTATAACATCAATATTCTCTCGACAGAAGCTACACGAAAATATAAAATATTAATTAAGGTTAAAGTATAAACCTTGTTCAGATGAACGAAACTGCAACGCTCATTTAGCCATGACTAACAATACAAATGTTTCTAGCTGTTAATGCTGCATAATCTTTGCTTTTAATCAAATGTTTCACAAATCACTTAAGAAGCAATCAATTGAGTTGTCAACCCACATGTCTAAATAGACTGACCACGCGATCTTGTAAGATACATAAGTAAGTAACCATGTATCCTTCGTTCTCGCCTGTCAGGGAGACCAAATCAGAAGAAATGTTGTTACTAGACAGATATCATTGCGAAGTAACATTTAAGGTGAGACCAAATCAGAAGAAATGTTGTTACCAGACTGATATCATTGCGAAGCAACATTTAAGGAAAACGTTAAGTACAAATTTTCTTGCAAACCAAAACAGTTGCAGATAACGAAATATCCACCAGTTCTTATCCTGAGCCAAATGATTTGAATCCATACACTCTACCCCTTTTATAGAAATATACATTATTTAATCTGCTGTTAACTTCTCAGTGAACGCAATTTTTATTTTCCGCCATCGTTCCAAACTACATTTTAAGTCTGCTGCATTTTCGAAATATTTCTTAGTTACCTTTGTGCCTTGCAGTCTGGTGACGAGACCTGAAGAAACATGTACCAGTGTCCTCTGTATCTACTTCTAGATCTTCTTTCTAATACAGTCTGATTTTCTCTTTACAATTCTTGTGTTTTCACGCAATGAATTGCAATCAGCACAGACCAGAAACTGACGTGTTCCATTCATAACAAAAACACAGGAAATAAATGTACACAAATTTGGCCCGAAATTCGAATTAGCATTCGAGACACTCACAAAGTAGTTAAACAACCACCCCTCTGCACAGTACTGCAACCCAACTCGATTTGAACTCCACCTTACTACCTGCATAACAGCATCAGATGCATGATTGGTCGGTAACACATTTCCTCGCTTGCAACGTAATATCAACGATTTCAATAAAGACACCAATCAGAACTCATTTATGGAGCTATCGCCAGACGAATTCAAAGATTTAATAGGGCAGTTGAATGTACACAGAAGACACGTGTAGGAACGGATAGTGATACACATTTTCGTAGTGTTACCTATTTTAAGGTTCAGTAACTCGGCATTTCATCCACATAGTGAATTTACGAAACAATTGTCTTATCACATTTAATATTTACAATGTCATACAAAATAATTATATAATTTTAACAGATAACAATCCGTTGCAGATCGGACCAATGTTTATTTGAAATTTTCGAATCAAAATGATCATCTTGTTGCGGGACATCCTGAAGAATGCACTTACTTTTAACATATGTATTGTATGCATGTTTTATATATGTAAAGTAGTCATACAATCTGTTCTTTGCGCTTAACGAAATGGTGTCACATCAAACATCTAGAATGACATGAGTGTTCCTGTTAGAATCTGACGCCCTGTAATTAATAAAAAGTCTAAGTGTTACGTGTTAATGACCAGAACCTTCGCGTGAAATGTATTCCTGGTGGAAGGATTACAAGGAGGTTAAATATGCATATTTATCTATGTTTGGTTGTCTTCTGGGTCGCCCCCAACACCAGCGCCCTGATGATGGAGGTAGGAATTGGTAAACATCTACCAGATTACATGGCGCTATAACCCAGAAGACAGATATCTTCTAAATTTACTTCCCCTTACACAACTTTGTACACGTCGCCTTTCAACTTATCTCGAATTCCGTAAAGCATAAGGACAGGGTACCAGCCAGCCATAAAGAAGCTAATAGGCGCTTGAATGCAGTCCCGAAACACGCTCAATAGAACGAATAAGCCTATACATACATCTGCTTATTCTCATGACTGCCGTCCCCATTACCCCACGTAAAACTAAGAAACAAGTATGTCCACTGTATTCGACAATGACGTTCTTTGAAGTTGCAGACAACTCGTTTGAAAAGTTGACGGGAATAGCAACATTGTAAACATGAGCCTACTTGGTGAAATTCTTTGAACAAGTGCCCATTATAGAATGAACGTGAGGTAGCAGTCTGGGTAAATATTTAGGCGTTGCACACGGTGATTCAAAAATCCCTGTGCACCTTTAACAGCACAATATATTTCTTATGGTCAACTTATGGCTATGGTAGTAGTCAGGGGCATACGGACACACACCATTCAAGTGTGCGCGTGTCTCTGCACAGGGACTTTCGAATCACATCCCACACCCATCATATGTTCTTACAGAAGCACTGGGACCTTCGAATCACCTTGTACATTGGACAGCATCTTTAAATACAGGCGCTATATTACATTCTATTAAAAACAGATACAAATCCTGTAGTTGTTCATATTGCACGTAGTATGAGAGGATGGTCGTGAAAGAACGATGTCTTCTTTAAGTCTCATCACGGAACTAAGTATGACGAAAAATTTCACTTACGGTATCCGACATTCACGTTGAAGATCGAACTCGGTACCTCTCGATAAGGAAGCAGGACTGCCAACCATTCAACTACAAAGTTTGATTCTCTGATTACACAACATCGTTGTTTCGACTGACAAGAATTTGATGTCGTCGTGTCATCTATGTGCTACTGAAAGTGGAATGATATGACAGAATCCTTCCGAACATTAAATGTGGAAATATGGACTGAATTAAAGGTCGTAGTTTTGCGGTTTCGTCACCAGGAGGTACGCGGTTTGAATTTTGGTTAGGGCGTCGAATGAACCGAATGCATCCAAGGCAAATTATTGTCGAGAGAACGAAGGAAAGGTATTGGCCCATCTTAAAAGTACCGTCGTACCCTTCATGATAGAAGAATCTGTGTGTAGCGTGTAGGATGCAGCTGCCATTTCTAGGCGGATCCAGGTGCTGCTAGCAGGTTCGGGTCTTCCTGGAGCACATGCCCAAAGGACTATAAAAATTAATACGACCTAAAACAATAAAACTTTATAATTTTGGTACTACGAACCGAAGAAAAATATTAAAGTTGCTAATTTCTCTGTTGCTAAACGAGTTTAAAATATGCGTTTAAAGGACGTACCAATCCCTCAACCCCCTCCCAAAATAAAAGAAATTTACGCCGAATAAGAACCGCACTTGGGCAAAAGTTCTGCTTACAATAAATGTTACATTCCTTATATGAAAGAGCATTTAGCATCTGCTTTGCAGTTAATAAAATACAAAATATTATATTTCAAACTATCTTTCACGCTAAGAAGCTACACCATTTTAAAACCGGTCCTTCTTTCTCGCAGACAAATCCTCCTGATGATGGACGCAGTAAGGAACTCTGAAACTTCGGTCAACTTGTACGAACGTCATATTGAGAAGCAACGTTGATCATCGGACTTGAGTCCAGACTTCAGAACAGCGGGTTTCTGACCCGTACAAAACGGAACAGATGCCAGAAACATGGCCGAACGTTTAATCGATAGGCCATGGCTGGAATGAGAAAATAAAAACAAGTCATTCTTCAAAATCGTTTTACCGAGTTTCCTTTATCCATTCACTGGCGTCATTATAACAGCCACGAACTGGCGAACTGATAAAACTAGGTACAAACAACGTCACTTCCTTTTTTCACACCTTACTCCTGAATTCCCCGTCATCAACAACGCCAGAGATCTTACAAATTTGTGAGTTTGGAACACCTTAAAAATTATTTTAACGTAATTTCTCATGTACGTTAATAGGTATTTACAAATATAAGATTTTTAAACAGCGTGAACTTCCTTGGAAAATATTAAAAGAAATATGACAATCACAAAAATTATGCGTACTAGTACTTCGTTTCTTGATTATTACATGTGACTCAGTGTGACTCAGCATGCTAATGGGTATGTTAACGTGTTACAAACACATCTACTAGTAGCCTATACATAGATTTACAGTACAGTCTACACACGTCTGTTATACACCTGCTGATTGTTATCAACAAATAATGTAAAGTGTGTATTGTTTGATAATGACTTAGTGTGTTATGTGTGTATATTATAAAGGACCGAGACAGGATACTTAAATGTAGACTTAAATAGAAAGACTACAGAGCAATTCTTCAATGCCCTAAAACATGTCAAAGCCAACGGAGAATATTTGCAATAAGCTTAATCATCTGTATTTACTAGCAACGGAAACTTTTACAGATGTAGGCAATTTTTTCCACATCCGGCAAAAGGGAAAATTATTAATTCACGCGTTCAATTGCGCAACACACCATAAAACCATACAGGAGAAATGATAGCGGTAAACATCAATCTTAGTACCATACAAAAACGCATTTACAAATTCGTTCTTTCTGATTATTTATACTTAATATAATTTGCTGTTCACTGCTTTCAATAATCCATAATTGCATAGCCGTCACAGCAGAGGCCTAGTCAGTCATAAATTACGTCCTTTGTACAAAGAGTCCCAAAAAAATCAATGAATGCAATAGAAATTTCAATAAACTAAACCAATACATACGTCAGAATTTTGAACTTAGTGAACCAGTGAATCTAGTGAAGGTGTTCAAAATGACCACCATCAGCTTCGTGGTACAGATAGCGGTGAGCAGCTGACTGCTAAGCGGCTACCGAAGTTGCTGCGTGTATATCTATTTAGGACATTCTGTATTTCGATAAATATTCGTTATAAATATAAGTATTAGGTGTTAATGGTCTTATACAGGATGGGTGGGAAGTAAGTAGGCATTGTGAAATGGTTATAACCTCTATATTTCCGATGCAAAATTAATGAAAATAATTTTTATATGTGCCTTTTTAAATGGGAATGCCAACTTACTTCCCACCATTCTGTATATGCGTGAGGAAATAGTACTACGAATAACCTTAAAAAAGTTTGAGGCCTCTTATTCTCAAACAGTTTGTGTGATCTTGTCGTGGTCTTGCCATGTCCTTCACCCATCCGTGACCTCATTTTAACATGAGTATAGTCAACCGGGTATTTACGGTTTGGGGGAAATAAGCATGAAAAGATATGACCTTGAGAATTTTAAAGATCTGTATCTCGCAAACTACTCGGCCGATCTTGTTGTAACTACCATATGACCTTGACCTATACATGGCCTCATTTTGACATGAGTATGGTTATCCAGTTATTTACCGTTTGGCAGATATAAGCAGATTTAATATATGACCGTGAGAATTTTAAAGGCCCGTATCTGGGAAACTAGTGGACCGATCTTGTCGTGGCTTCCATATGACCTTGATCTTTACGTGACCTCGTTTTGATGTGAGTATAGTCAACCAGGGTTTTACGGTTTGGACGAAATACGCGTGAAGCGATATGACCTTGAGAATTTTAAAGACCCTTATCTGGGAAACTATTGGGCCGAACTTGTTGTGACTTCCATATGACCTTGACCTACACGTGACCTCATTTTGACTCGAGTATGGTCAACAAGGTATTCACCGTTTGCCAGAAATAAGTGTGAAAAGATCTGACCTTGAGAATTTCAAAGACCAATATCTGGGAAACTAGTACGCCGATCTTGTTGTGACTACCATATGACCTTTTCCTTTGCCTGACCTCATTTTGACATGAGTATGGTAAACCAGGTATTTACCGTTTGGCAGAAATAATCGTGAAAAGATATGACCTTGAGAATTTCAAAGACGAATATCTGGGAAACTAGTGGGCCGATGTTGTCGTCACTTCCGTATGAACTTGACCTTTACGTGACCTCATGCTCGCATGAGTATGGCCAACCACGGATTTACGATTTGGTAGAAATAAGCGTGAAGAGATATGACCTTGAGAATTTTAAAGACCTGTACCTGGCAAACTATTGGGCCGATCTCCTCGTGACTTCCATATGAACTTGAACTTGTCATGACCTCATTTTGACATGAGTATGGTCAACCAGGTATTTAAGGTTTGGCAGAAATAAGCGTCAAAATATATGACATTCAGAATTTTAAAGACCTCTCTCTGGCACATAACCTAATCTAATCCAACACACTAATCTGACCTGACGCAAACTAAACTAATCCAAACTAATCCAACTTAACCGAAAGCACCCTACATAACCCTACCAACCCTTACCTAACCTAACCTAACCTAACTTAACCTATCCTCACCTAACCTAACCCAACCTAACGTAATCTAACCCAACACAATGTAGGCACTGAGTATATATTGCGACCTATACATGACCTTTACACATCCATGACCTCTAAATGTCTGCAATGTCACTGAGATTCGTACAGTTCTCTATGTACAGGGTGGGTGGGAAGTAAGTAGGCATTGAGAAATGCTTATAACCTCTATATTTCTAATACAAAGATACTGAAAATAATTTTTATATATAACTTTTTAAGTGGGAATGCCTACTTACTTCCCACCCACCCTGTATTTTATGTAATAAATTTATTCAGTCAAGACGCAGGAATGTACAAGAAGGATATAAAGGCAGACTAACGTTTAATGTAAAAGCAACAGATACTTCTTTCTTATTATGCGTTCACCTTATGCACGAATGTACCCAGAATCGTATTTGTCCTGAAGCTACGCCGTCTACCAAATATCTCACACAGAAAGCCCGAGCCAGCGAGTAAATTACCAGAGATGCGGAAATAGAAATTTACTTCCGCCATCATTTCCATATAAAATACGGCCTTCTATTTTCGGTTAGCCTGCAATTAAGATGAGACCGCCCTGAGACTACCGACCGACAAGCAGACTCACGGACATGCACAGAAACACTCAAACAGGGTGAAATGGCCAATTGTCATACGCAGAGAGGCAAAGTAGACGTGACAAGAACAGCGCGAGGGCTATATTAAGGTATTTTTATGACATTCACTGGAAGGACTGAGTAAAACCACAATAATCGGTGCCAGGAATACGAAGATTCGAACCCACGATATCCAGAATATGAAGTAGAAGCAGACATATTACTAATTTCAAAGCGACTGTCATTGACAAATTAATAATATGTTACGAGTAGATCTTGTCTGCCCGACCATAATGAAGGTAATGAAAACTGAGACAGAGCATAAAACAAGACAAACAATTATTTATCTCATTATGGTTATAATTATAGTATGAGGTGATTCGTGCCACAACCAGATGGCCTCCGCGGCACACCGGTTGCGCATCACTGTATTAAGCAACCAAAAAGCCAAAGTTTGGGTGGAATCTTTGCGTGATACCAAGACACACTCCCTTGATCCTTGCTGGGTTAAATCATTCCTGCGTCCTAAATGCACAACTGGAATTGGAAAACGGTGTTTATAAAACGAAACTGAGATTGGTGTCTTGGCTGAAGGCCTTGCGCTGAAGCTATTACCGCTAGTAGGAGTGAGACCCATCCGGCCATCAGGGAAACTTAACATTTTACACGTAGCTCAGAACAAGTGTTGGCCAGTTTCACCATCGAGACAGAAATTCTACTCGCCAGACATTTTCTTCACAAAAGAAACCGACATGGACTGTCGCCAGGAAACAATTGATTACAAATGACCAGCGCAGTCGAGAAATGAGTGAGTCACTGTTTATGGCAGCCTTTAGCATCTTACACGTGTCGATACATTCGAAACGAAACGTAGCCACGGATGATTCACACAGCGACGAATAAAAAACCAGAAAATTGTATTTCGATCCAATCTTTTTCCTTTATCCCGACATTCAAACAATTCAGTGTCGCGTTAACACGCCAGTCACAGGTCGACTAAGGAATAAAAAGCGGGAAAACATATTAAAGAAAAAATGAAGACTATTCAGTCGTCGGCCTTGACTTCTCGTTCGTCATGGACAAGCAGACGAGTGGATTTGTTGAGACTTGTGTAAAAGCCACAAACGTATAGAAATATGTTGTTTCTACATCGTGCCACGAAGAGGTGTGGAGGTGTGGCGCCACTCATTCTTGACCTCGATACCAGATGAGGTGAGTGGTCATCTTCACCTCCTCCCCTCCTCCCGATCTGGCCAACCCGTAGCCGTTGAGGAGTCATTAAATACCCCGTCTTTTATGGAACCAAAAGATTCATTACCGTGGTCGAAACAGGTTATAATTTTTTATCTTTTCCATGCGTGCTATATGTCCCGAGAACCTTGTCCTCTTCGAGCATTCTAATAGTATTCTGTGAAGAGTGCAAATTACGAAGTTCCCCATTTTTTATTTTTCTACTGTCTTCTGTTATTTCGTCTCTCGTAGGTCTGGATATTTTCCTCTGTACCTGTTCTCATGCAGCCTTAATGTGTGACCTTCATGTGACAAACGCTTCACATTCATAAGATTAACAATTTAAAACATAGTTTTGTATAATTTACTTTAAACTTTAGGTTTTTAGGGCTATCATCATCATAATTATGATCTTCGCCTTAGTCATTATTATCGTTATCAACTTTATCCGAAGTGTCTAAGAAGTATCAGGGACAGCTTTCATAAATGGTAAAATTAATTGGCCTGTTACGCAATAAGTAGGCAGTCCTTGCAAAATAATGATTTACTGCAGAAACTCGAGCCCTCTCAGAACGAAAACAGACAAGATAATTCAAGAACTCTTGCAGATTAGCCAAGAAACAAGGGGTAAAAAGCATTAAACTCTGACAGAAAATAATAGTTGCAAGTATTTCACTCATCAGACGCAGAGAAATGAATGCTAATAAACTGTCCCAGGACACACACCTCATGACGACGGCCTAACAGCTTCAAATCATATACTGCCCTTTTTGTTAATAAAAACAAGAATAGTTTTGATGGTAAGGAAAGTAGCCAA